CGCGTCGGTTCCCGCGGACGCCGTAGCATGGGTCGTAAAATCGTAAGTTGACTTGGAGTAAATGGTGGGAGCCCTTGTATGCGTTAAGAGCAAATAAGTTACAACTATTTCTTGCCGGTAATTTTAGCAAGCAAACTGCATAAGACAGATAATAGAAAAGGAGTGAGAACAAGGTGGAGAATTTGCATGCATTATGTTTCAGCAGAGTTTGCATGTGCATGTTAACAAAATGAATAATAGTAACAATGCCTGATTAAATGGGGTTCGGGAAATACTGGTCGATCTCTAAAAGTGGTGTATGCGAACTCCTCTGAAACACGATTCCCGTGTGGAACTGCAGGAAATATGTCGGTAAAAAAATTTACTGAGCAAAAATAGGAGCGGTGATTGGTACAGCATAGGTTCTTTTTATGTTGGCAATTGTGTCTTCTGTCTTCATTTTTGGTTCCATTTAAAAAAGATCTTCCCAGTTGACATCCAGCTCAACTCACCTTAGCAACCGAAACGTTCTTATAGGCTCAGCTCCGCCCTGTCCATAATGGAGCGGATATAAATTAAAGGCATGGAGGTTGCTGTTCGTATAAAAAAGGCTTCAGTTTACGAACAGTCTCTGTAGTACGATTTTGTACACCGCCAATAATACACATATCTTTCTCACACCACAGCCACCAAGCTGGTACCGCATATTGTAGGTGCGATTGTACACCTACTCCGAAGATATCCGCATTAAATTTAACAACTGTTCTTCGTATTGTGCTCATAGTTGACACTGGCCTCTCTGCGACTTTGAAACACACTGTTTTAAAAGGACCGCACTTTTCACTTTTACACCCTCTCTATTTAGGCCTCGTCCTGGCTGTGTTTTATTGTTGTTTGCGCAAGATGGAACCACCAATACTTTTTGTCCTTTCAGGTCGCTGATTACGCGCACACCTCCAAGAAAGCAAAATCCGGCTTTCGACTGCCCTCTGCAAAGAAATCCAAAAAGTTCAAGCAACCCACGCCTGCTCGGGAGCCCATCGAATGCCTTCACCCTACCATGCTGCCTTCAGGTCAACAGGTGGACGGTTTGGGGCAGGAGGGCATGCTGCACAGTCCGTTGGGCCATCTGGTCACCCCGGAAGTCTTAGCTCTCGCAGAGAGTCCCGTCCTCGTGAAGTCCAAGAAGAAGAAGAAGAAAAAGGACAAGCAGGGGCAGGAGAACAAGACTGAAAAAACGAAAGCGAAGACAAAAATGAAGAAGAAGAAGAAGGACTTGGAAGCCCTGTGCGAATCTGCCATCTCGCCGGGTGTTAAGGCAACCGAAGGCCTCACCGCTTCTGTCAAAAAATCGGGTAAACGTGGGTCCAAACACGCTGCCAAGGCCTCAGATGAACCCGAACCGGCATCAGACACGGTATACAATCGCACCTCTTTTACCATTGTCTTTTTGGTTCAATTTTTAGGGTAAGGTTAGGTGGTGGAATCTGCTTGGCTATAATGTACATAACCAACTACTATATACTTTTTAGTAAGCATAGCTTTACTTATTATTACGCAGGCCTGTACATCGTAGCCACAGGAACTTATTAAACATAGGCTTTAAGGTTCTGTTGGTCGATTAGTTGAGTTAACAACCCCTGAGTGCTCACATTTAGCTGAAATATAACTTAGTTAGTATATATTTTCGCCTATGTGACGAAAGTTCAGTTAATTTTTATTAAAGGAAAAAAAGGGCGAACGCCTTTGAGCTCGTACCTGTCAGACCTTCATTAAAAGGGTCCCTCTGAAGGGTTTTGTTGTTCGAACGGTCGATGACACAGGATGAGCTAGTTATCCTGGCGGTTGTGGTCTGTTCAGACCACAACACTTTGCTTGTCCTAGTAGTTTGGATAGCGTTCTATCTTCGTAGGACAAATAATTGGTCCACGCTACGGCCTGCGGTGCAAATGAACTGGATCAACTGGAGGTAGATCAACCCGTGGCACGCGTTAATCAGGCTACAAAAAAGCCGCGCCACCCGGAACACCCCTAGGCGTAGACTGTAAGTCTCCCCAGCCACTGTGTCCAATTCCAGTGCGAGGTGGCTAACATGCTCATACCATGAAGTAGTGCGTGGAAGAATTGGGAGAGAGATTGATGTTGAATGTTGGGAATCTACCCTCACGGCACATCGGCGCTTTCCTAATTATAGTCTGTCTGATGCGCTGTCTGTCTTACCGCTCCCAAACTCGGGGCCTTGTCAGTTTCCAACTGACGGGGTAGTTGGATCCTCGTGGGGTGACTTGTTTACGGACTGATAGGCAGGCTCAACGACTCTTTCTAAATATGTCCTTCAGGGCACTCACACTCAGGTGAGCTCGGAACCGCCTTCTGCTACGATAACTTTACTGAGGCCTAATAAGCCGTTACACCTCGTCGGAGAAATACCTTGGATGGCTTTCTTCGTTTCTATGCATCACTCAGGTTATGTTTGTATCAGTGTAACAATAGAGCCGAATCCACTTGTCTTTTCTATTGAACGGGCACCAATTAGAGGAGCAAACCACATTGTCCAGCATAAAGAATGTCCACAAGATAACTCGGATATTTTTATTCCTAGGATTAATAAAAAACTTTCTATAATAGGTTACCTCTTTAAAAAGTGCTTTAAGTGGATATTCAGCTGACGAATTTCTCTGTAAATTAACTTTTTCCAAGGTAATGTCACAATGAAATTGGAGATTTTTGAAAATTTCTTTAATTTACCTGACTGGAGATGAAAGAACATACCTTTCTCTTTATAACGGATTATTTTCCGC